TTGTTTTGTGTGTGCGTGTGTGCGTTTAGTTACTGTGGGTGCATGCGCTTGTTTTGTGTGTGTGTGCGTGCATGTGTGTTTAGTTACCGTGTGTGCATGTGCTTGTGTGTGTGCACGTGTTTAGTTACTGTGTGTGTGCATGCACTTTTGTGTCTGTGTGTGCGCATGTGTGTTACTGTGTGTGTGCATGTGCTTGTTTTGTGTGTGCGCATGTGTGTTTAGTTACCCTGTGGGTGCATGCACTTGTGTGTGTGCGAGCACGTGTGTTTAGTTACCGTATGTGTGCTTGTTTTGTGTGTGTAGGGGTGCATGTGTGTTTAGTTACCGTGTGTGCTCGCGTGCTTGTTTCAGTATGGAAAGTGCACGTGTGTTTAGTTACCGTGTGTGCTCGCGTGCTTGTTTCAGTATGGAAAGCGCACGTGTGTTTAGTTACTGTGTGTGTGTGCACATGTGCGTGCTTTTCTGTGTGTGTGTGCTCATGTGTGCGTTTGTTTCCATTTTGAAAGCGCACGTGTGTTTAGTTTGTGTGCATGCGCTTGTTTTGTGTGTGTGCACGCATGTGTGTTTAGTTACTGTGTGTTTGCATGTGCACATGCGCGCGCTTGTTTCAGTTTTGAAAGCACACAACGCCCCTTTGTGTGTTTGGGCTCTTTGATGTTTGTAGCGGGCACCGACCAGCTGCAGACAATTTCTGGTAACAGCCATCCCTGGATTCCTCGCCGGGTGGCCAGGGTTCTGAGTGTTTCTGGAGCTGCCTAGCATGACCAGCCCCCTGCACCATCTTTCCAGCCCCGCCAGAAGCCTCCACGGGGCCATCGGTAGGAGCCGAGGGCGCTCACCCGAGAGCCAGGCACGGAGTGGCCAGGAAGTGCAGTTCGGGGCTCAGTGAGGACGGCCCCCTGCCTGCCGGTTCCTCCGGTGTGGGCGAGGGCACCCCCTCAGAGTGCCAGATCACTACCCAGACACTTGGTCATGTCCCTGAGCCAGCTGCTCTGGTTACAGTGCCTCAGAAGCGCTAAGTCCCCAGGATGTATCTGTCGAATCCAAAACCAGAAGCTTCCTATAGGTTTTCCCAAAGCAGGAGTAGCTAGGAGGACACTCAGCCTGCCCCCGTGGTCAGGGTGACTTCGTGCACTGCAAAGAAAGTAAGCGCAAGTTCCTGTCTCCACCCTGAAAGCATCCATTTCACAGACGATTCCAACGCTCCCCAAAGGGCGCGAGCGGGACACCCACCAGGGCCCTGGGAAAAGAGCCTCCACATCCTGGACATTTGCGGCTCCCCATTCCATAACCACAGGTGCCTTTGTCTTTCCAGCTGACTTCCACAGGTTTGCAGAAATGTACCCTGACTTCGCGGAGGAATACCTGTACCCGGATCAGACACATTTCGAAAGCTGTGCAGAGACCCCGCCTGCGCTGATCCCAAACGGCTTCTGTGCCGATTTCAGCCCGGAAAACTCGGACGCTGGGCGGAAGCCCGTTCGCAAGAAGCTGGATTAGGACCAAGGGTTGCGGAGAGACGCGGCCCCTCCCGCGTGGCCATCACCGCCATGAGCCTCTTTGCGAGTGACCTCTGGGCTCCGCTCCTCACTCCTGCTGTCCAGGCACTGTCTTCAGCCCGAGTTCCAAGGGCTTCGGGGGCTGTTTGTGTCTTGTTCCTTTGTGAAGAGTCTCTGTTGCAGAACCGGCGCGTACTGTGCGAGAATCGGAGGGCGCGCACGCGGATCCCTCGCCTGGCTTGGACCCCGTGGGGTCAGGTTCCCTGCTGGGCTGGGGGCCCCGGTGCCGCCCCGTGTTCTCCCACGGGGTCCTGATTTCGAGTCTCTGTCACAGCCTCTTGCAGCGGCAGCGTGCACCGGGCGGGCCTCCGTGCACACTCAGCACACGCCTACCACACGGAGCGTGCGCCTGCGTGTCGCTCTGGCACGAAACCTCCGTCTGCCTCTGTGGTTCCACAGCCTGGCAGAGCCGTCGCCTGAGTTTTCGGTGTTTCTACCTGTGTGCTGGAGCTCATGAGTATTTTATAAACTCCATTTAGGTACTTCAGGAAACATGCAGCATTTTTTAAAAAATGAAAATTGTTTTTCTACTTCATTTTTCCTTTTAGGGTCAAAGGATATTTATTTATAGGCCTTTTTTTTTTTTAATATAGAATCTGAGGCTGTTTGGGCTTTGACTTAAATTTCCATCAGGCCTCTCTCCAGCAGGTAATCCCTCTCCTTCCGTTGGGTCCCCTGGGGAGGTGTGAACTCAAGGACCTGGCCCCAAAACACTTTTTCTGCTTTTCTTAATCCTTTTCCAGTCCTCTCTTTTTTTTATAAACGTTGGCAGTTTGGTGTTTTTGTTTCGGCATAACGTAATCCACTTCACTGTAGCCTAAACTCCAATCCGAAGTTGAATATTGTTCAAATGAGCAGGGCCCAAGCTGGAAGCTCAAGGCAGCCGCCACCATGCCGCTCCTCCCTTGCTCTCAGGCCGGGTCCCTGCTGGAAGCGGCTGCATCTTCCTCTGTGCCCTGGTTTCCATGGTGACTGGCATGACACAGCCGCCTGAGTGTGGCTGACCTTCCTGCAGAGAGGGGAGCCGCAGTCTGTTGCTTGTGGAAGGAGACGCTGGGCCATGCGGTGCAGAGGGTGACGAGGATGTCTGGTGACAGCTGTGCGGACACCACTTCTCTTTGCAGCACTGCCTCCCGGCGCCAGGGTCGCGGGCATATCCCACTGAGAGCAGGGGTC